TCAAAGTTGGTCAAAGTTGGTCAAAGTTGGCGGTTGCGCAAGCTTCGAATGCGAGCCAAACGTTGCGGCGAGTGTCCGCAAGGCTGGGTCCGGCGGTCGCGCGCGAAAAGCTCGCCTCGCCGGCGCCAAAAATCGAAAGCTTGCACATCGCGCTTCGCCGAGGAATTTTCGTTGCTGCCAGGCTCGAAGCTTTGTGGACGTGGGGGGTTGCGACGGTGCGGGCGCGGGGCAAGCAGACGACGCCGTTCAGATCTCCGTCCTGCGTCCCGTCCTGCGTCCCGTTGCAACTCGCTCGACGTGGGGCCACGCCATCGGACACAGTCCACAGCCCTTGCCTGCCCGATGACCTTGCATGCTCCACTCACTCTGGATGCAGTCGATCTGAATGCTATTGCGGCGGCGAGTTACAAGAACTGGGAGATCCACTCCCACATATCCTCCACTTCAACGTGCGGCTCCATGTCGAACAAGTGGTCTGCGCCCTCGACGGCAATCACGCGGAGCGAGCCTGGCTGCGTGTAGCCAGCACGCTCGAGAGCCTGGACAACATGCAGCGACTGCGAATGCGGTACCTTGGGATCCGAGTCTCCGTATGCGATGAGCACGGGCGGGCCTGGTGCCTTGACCTTGCTCTCGATCAAGCTCGGCGTGCAAACCTCCTTGGCCTCCTCGGGGCTCTGCAGGATGAGGCTGGCGTACGAACCCTCCTGGCGCGCAAAGTTGTACAGCGCCGCACGCACCGGATTGGCAGCAGGCGGGGCATCCGTCCTCACCCTCGCGCCGCTCGCCTTCACCACACCGTGACTCGCATCGAGACACTTTGTGAGATGCCCCTCAGCCTTGAGCGGGGATTCTTCGATGAGCTTGCCGTCGGCTGCCCAGGGCAGCGGGCGCAGAGGCTCGTGGAAGAACGGCGCCAGCTCGGGCGTCACGGTGGTGATCGCATAGATGGCGAAGACTGCCGCAGGTGGGCGCGGGATGCGGCTGGCCTGTTCGTGCAGCGAGAGGCCGAGGAGGAGAGCGGGCCAGCCACCGGCACTGCTGCCGCCAAGAATGTAGCGCTCGCTCGAGATGCGCGCCGAGTCGCAGCCCGACGCGGCGCGCGAGGCCGGGTCGAGCGTCCAGACGATGCAGTCGGCGACATCCTCGAGCACCTCGCGAATCGACACCTGCGGACACAGCCGGAAGTCGGGCGCGACGAGCGCAAGCCCATGGCGCGAGAGCGCCCGCAGCAGGTGCGGCGGAACGAACTTGCGCGTGCCCTGCAGAAAGCCGCCGGTGTGCACCCAGATGAGCGGCGTGAGCGGCGCGCCCGACGTGGATTCGGGGAGGTAGACGTCGACTGGGATCGGGGTCGGGGAGCCGTCCGTGTTGACGAACGTCTTGTACGTGTACGTCTGAGGTTTTGGTTGCGACATGGTGCTCGGTCGAAGATGGCTGATGCTAAGCGCAGAGAGAAGCGCGGTGTTGGAAGTGGACTTCATATAGGGCTCGGCCCGTGCTCCACCTTGGGTGCTTGTGCCGAAGCATGCACGGAATAGCCGGGCGGTCTCCGCGGCTTGCGCTCCGAGCGGTCATCAAATCTTGCGGTCTAACACCATCCCGATTTGAAAATGGACAATCGACTCCAGTGCGGCCAGCGCATGCGTGTGTGCTCGGCGGAACAACGCGCATCACACGGTCGGTCGACACTTCGGTCGTGCCGAAACAGAACAACGAACGAACAGCAAAGCAGGCAACTCTCCACCCACTGATCCTGTCAGCCGTCCGCTGAGATCAAAGCTGGGAGTTGCTCCTAGGCTGACGTCAAAGTGCCAAGCCCAGTGAGAACCCACGCTGACTCGTGGCGTGGTCCAGAGGCGTGGGTGGGAATTCTGTTCGGATGCCGAAGAGGCAGGAGAGCGCGACCTGCAACGCCCCTTTTCGTGTTTTTCTTTTCGGACGAGCCGCTGCTTCGGATGCGAGGCCGTTGCAGCACCCTCTCCGCGCTCGCAAAGGCGGCCAGCCCCCCCCCCTGCGCCGCGCCCACAAGCGCCGTCAGCGCATGATTTCCACGCCGCCCCGACGCTACCACTTTCCACTTCATTTCCTCCATCTACCACCTCAATCCCAGCACTTCAGCTTTCTCCCTTCCCCCCCTCCCATTCCCCCTTCCCTACGATCCATACCTGCCTCTCCGATAACGAACGCCTCGAAACACTGCTCTTCAGCAACCCACACTCCTTTTTGATCCCATCCTCTGCCTCGACAATCTGCTCAGTCTCACCCTCGACCTGCCTTGAGCATCCAGCACGCCTCCAACCGCCAAACCCGTCCGTCTGCTGCTTTTGTCAATCGACATCAAGCCCACTCAGTCCACTAGCATCGTCACGTCGCCTCTCCTTGCGAACCTTTTACGCGAGCGACCAAATACATGGCCAATATAGTCATGCGTGTCTCGACTGCGCTCCTCTCGTTAGCAGCGCTACCGTGGCTGGCACGCGCTGCCTTCCACTCCAACGACACCGCCTGCACACGCCACTACACTGTCGAGGCTGGCGACACGTGCGACAGGATCGGTCAAAAGACGCTCACATCCACCTACCAGATCCTTGCGTTCAACCTGCTCAACGCCGGCGCTGACTGCTACACGCTCGAGATCGGCTCCCAACTCTGCCTCGGCCGCTACGGCAACGACTGCCAGTTTGTTCACAGATGCTCCAACTCCGATACGTGCGAGAGCATCGCAAACGACTACGGCATCTCAACGCATCGTCTGCAGGACAACAACCCCAGCCTCGACTGCAACATTGTCTACGAAGGCCTCATGCTTTGCGTCAGTGCCGGAAGCATCCGCCCGCCCGCTGACCACAGCATCAACTCGACTGATGTCAAGGTCGCGCGCGAAGTGGCGAGACAAGCCTGGATCGTCCAAGAGCAGCAGAAGCACAATGCAAAACAGGCCGAGCACATGTCCGCATCCGCCCATTCGGCATCCAAGAAGAACCCTTCGCAGTCCAAGCAGCGTGGCAAGCAGCATCACAAGCAGGCCGATGCGAAGCAGCACGACAAGCAGCATCACGAACAGGCCGATGCCAAGCACCACCACCAACATCAGCAACCCAAGGGTGACAAGCCAAAACAAGCGCCGGACGCGCGTCAGCACGCCGCCAAGCCAGCCCCTCACGATTCCAAGCCAGGAGACCAGGCGCACGCTTCCGCGGCGCAAGACGGCGAACATCGCGGCACGCAAGATGGCAAGTCAACACCACGGGCCGCCTCGATGGACGCGCTCGAAGAGATCGCCGAAGACTTTACTGCAGCCGCTCTGGCCGGCTCCAATCATACCCCGCACAGCACCGAGCACCACACCCCGCCGCCACTGGATGGCGCCACCCACTCGGCACACAAACGCCATCGCTCGCTCTCTTCCCGCTCTCATCAGCAGAGCTCACATACCCACTGACGTAGCTGCTCCGTTGCTTCTGTTTCGAATAGTCGTTCCTCGTAGGCCTTGTGCAAGGCGCGAGGTGTGGCAATCTGATTCTTGCCCGGGATGGCAAGATGCTCGCTCCACGGTCGAAGGTGTGCAGCTGAGGGCAGAGCTAGGTGGCTGTAGGTTGGCCGCGGACGAGGTTGAGGATGCGTGCGCTGGCGGATTGGAACTCGGCGAGCGGTTGGGATTCTGGTGGTTTGGCGAGATGGAGTGGTGCTGAGGCAGGGGTGCTGGGGAAGGAAGCGTTGGAGTTGGTGACGAGGTGATCTGCGTCGTCGAGGATGTTGCGGACCTGGGTGGGTAGCCAGATGCGACGTTGTTTGGCCATGCTGGGATCTGCAGGTGCGACAATGTCGATTTCCAGCAGTTCTTCAAGGCTCTTTGCGGGCACGACAGTATTCGAAGTTGGCTGTAGGAAGATTTGGGACACGCTTCGTTGCGTTGTATCCCTGTCTGTGCACAAGTCGAAGATGCAGTCGGGTTTGCGCACTGCGTCTTTTGGTGAAGCAGCTCCACACCGCGAGGAGATGGCGACGATACGAAGTTCCTCGACGTGGGAGCGAAGACACTCCCACGAAGTCCGATCGAGTCCGCGCACAGTTGAGCTCGTACCGTCGACGAGAAAGTTGGGCTCGAACAGCGCAT